GGGAAATGCACGGGACTATGGTGGTGGCACAGGGGTGATTTGGTGATGGGAAACCCGTGGGGATTACAATTGAGATGGAAAAAAAATGTGCAAAATGATGTAAAAATAAACTTTTTAATAAAAAAAATAAATAAATAAAATTAAAAAAAAAGATACATAGTGTTAAACAACCAGTACCATTTTTTTTAAAGAAAATTACCTCTAATATTTAGAGGAAGCAATATACTATACTAACTTCAACCTAAAAGAAATGACTTTGAAACAACTAGCCCTGTTCTAGTTGAAGAATGAGAAACCCTAGGTAGCTATTTATTCCTCCTGTGTGTAAAACAGACACCAACTGTGGGATCCCAGCTTTTGCCTGAAGAATCCAACTGTTCCCCAACATCGGCCCTCCAGATAGCTACCACCAGAATTAACTGATGAAATGAATCCCATTCCATTTTCATATATGCCAAGTTCTGTAACAGGTACAGGTTTCATGGACTCCGCCCCCACTCGATGCTGGAACTCAATCCCATCAGTACCAAGAAGCACACAGGGACATGAGGGCGGAGCTGAGCAGCCAGATTGGGGTAAAACCAGACATGTGGGCTCTTGGGCTCTCTTGGCCTGGTGGTTCGCAGCTGATCATTTTGGCGCTCAATCGGTTTTCAGCGTGCCGGTGGAGTCCACGTCAGCAGAACTGGTAGGACATCCTAGTTAACCTGTGTTTCTCTCCCTCTTTCCCTGGGTTATCCCTTTACCTTTCTCCTTATAAATAAATCCATTACTTAACCTTTTGCAGTGTGTCCATAATACGATTGAATCGTAAGTGCACGGGTGAAGACCCACAGACAGGCAACCCAATTCACATTGGGGTGCCCTGTAACAGTTCCTTTCTGATCTATTATTGTAACTTAGTCTTAACACAGAGATGCTTCCATCTAGCTGGCTTGCAAGCTAAGGGGTGTACGTCCAACTACATTTAGAGAATTCTACATTTAGGCATTCTCAAAAGTTCATTCCATTAACAAGGAACGCATCTCTGAAACTCTAGGTGAACAAAATTAAAACCTGAGACTCTGCCAAACCCAAGATAAGATTTTGAAATATTCCTTCAAAGTATAGTAGGATATTTTGCCTAACGAACAGCACCCAGTTGGCTTCTCCCCATGACATCTCTTTAACCATACCTTGAATTCCTAAAACAAGACATGTAGGAGTCCATACCTGGAAGGCAGTAGGCACAATTTACCTTCACACCACTCTCACTTGGATACAAATTCCAAAAGACACTGCTGTATGGGACAAAAGTCCAGTCATGCCAGAATTCTGAGGAAGAGTGTAACCTCCTGAAGGGGCTCATCTACCACTAGGGAAGCATTCTCAGAGGGTGTGCCAGCCAGAGGCCGCTCAGACATAGTATGCGACCAAGTCCAGATTGTGAAGTCAGAAACAAAAGTTCAAAACTGAAATATTTCCCAATATTTCAAGAAGAAACAGCAAAACTTTAAAAACAAGAGAGGTGAAGTTGAAGAATTAGATACAGGTCACAGACTAGATGGAAAAATAAGCACAAAATCCAACAAAAATCTAGAGTTAGCAGGTAGAAGAATCAACAGATCATCAGGTAGGATTAGCAGGTAATCTCCAATTAGGAGACCAGCAGGACAGAGATGGCTAACTGTGCTATAGCTGAGGGAGAATAGCACATCAAGTCCTGGGCAGGGCCAGACAAAAATAAGGGTAGAAAAACTAGAACCTGTATTACAAGTCACTGTGGAAGTTAGAGAAACAGGATGTAAAAATCTAAACATTCTTTTAAGAGCTGCAAATACTTACATAGCACCTAACCTATAATAGACAAACTTCTAATATGAATTTTAGCTCACTTAAACAATGCTATGGAAATATGGGTTAGTGGGACTTCTAAATGAGAAAAATGAGGCACAAGAAATAGGTGACTTCCCTAAGGTCGCACTCTGAGAAGCACAGAGCTGTGTTTTGTTCTAAGCAAACACAAATCCTGAGAGATTTGTGCGCCTAGCCACTAGGCTACCATGTGACCCTCAGTTAAGACTCCTCAATTCTCCACTTAATTCAAGCAAACTACCACGTTTCTGTGAATCTCAGTTCCCATAACTACAAGAGGGGGACAACATTTCCCACTGCCCAAGGCTTGGGGAGCCATCAAATAAGAGGGTAAAGGGTAGGCCTTGGCAATTTAAGAAAGCCTTCTATGATGAGAAGCTGTAGCTTCCCTTACCCAGTCCCTGATTTCCCCTTCCACACCTTTCTTTGCAGAATATGTAAACAGGAGAGCAGAGGTCAAAGAAGATACCTTTTCAATGACATTTCACCTGCCAGTAGTTAGACGAAATATCTGTGACTCCATTATAATATAATCAGATTTCTTTCTACCAATGAGTACTTGGTTTCTTGAGTTTAGAGAACAGGATGACTTTCTGGACAAAATGCTTTAGTACCCAAAAGGACCTCTGAAACCCGGGGCCCTAAAAACTAAGACAAGGAGAGCGCGACAGTCGTGTCGCACCTTGGATGTAAAGCCATCCGGTCACTAAAGGGCGGTCAAGTTGTTCATTCTAATCAGTTAAAAATAACAGCGTCAGGGAATGGGGTTTGTTTGCCTTCACCCGGAGGTCTTAGCGGGGTCCCTCCCGCCCGGCGGGAGTAGCCGGGGTGCAGTCTTCCCCGCACCCCGCAGCACAAACCGAAACGCACACCCCGCGCGACCACTGACCTTCGGAACTGGTCCCCTCGCGTCAGCTCGACTCTCACAACTCTCCCCTCGACCCCCGCCTCCCAGGCTTTCTCGAATCCTCTGAGGAGCGGGGACATTTACCTCTAAAGTTTTCACCAGGATCTTCATGTAGATCTGGGAGATGCCCAAAGACACTCCGAAGGCGGAAGGCAGGAGGATGAGGCCGAGCACCAGCGTCAGCCAGGTGGAAAGGATCTTGCCCGCCAGCTCTGCGCCCTCCATGGCTCAGAGCACCCGCTCGCAAAGAGTCCACGGAGAGGCCGAGCGCGACAGCTGTCCCTATCCCCTGGCGGTCGGGGGCAGCTCGGGGAGCAGAGGCGCGGAGCCCCGGCTCCTGGGAGTCAGCGCCGCCGCCTCCCCGCACGCACTGCGGGGAAAAGAAGAGAGGAAGGAAAAAACTTTCAGAACGACAGCGCTGTTCTTCCTTCCTCTTCGGGCTCCTCCTAACCGCGGCGGGTTAACTCTCTCGGCTGGAGGCCAGGCGGGCGCGGAAGCCACCGCAAAGGGCGCAGACCAGGTAGCACCGGCCAGACGACCCCGAGCCGGGGTGAGCGAAGAGACACCGCGGCGCGAGCGGAGCGCTCGAGCTCAGCCGGGAACGCGCCCCGCCCTGTGCCTGATTTCCTCTGGGCGTTTGCGACGACTCACGGTGACTCACGGAGGCCGCCCCAGAGCCAGGATCCCTGCGGGCTCACCGCACCGCCGCACACCCGCCGCTGGCAGGACTGGCGCAGGGCCCACTGCTGTGCTCGGGGCGGGCGGTCTCCCGAGCCCCAACCCCCGCGCCCTATTTCTGCGCGCTGCCCTCGCCCCACCTCCTCCGTCACCCAACGGGATGCTTCCAAACGAAGCTGCGAGCAGTGCGATGCAGCTTCGTGGGCGGCCTCCCTTCGCTGCGCCCCGCCCTCCAGAACTCTGAGGAAAGGTCCTTTAGAGAGCCGAGTTTTCATCTGCAAAATGTTGGCATTTTCTTCACGCCCAAAACCCGCTCGTGAGAATGTAAAAAAGACCTCTCGGAAAGGTTTGCAAGGAGAGGGAAATGCAAAGAGCAATATCTAGCTGCCTCCTGCGCCGCTTCCAGGTCGCCCACGGCCCTTCCTTTCTACGCGCAGCTGTAGGGCTACATCTTGCTGATCCAGAGAGTGGGAATCTCTTTTCACAAGTGGGCGGCTACTCCACTTAGCCGCCATCTCCCTGGCAGAGAAATCCTTTGGCTGAGGGTCGTTCTCTTCCAGGGGGAGGATTCCAACCACAGCTTTCCCTGGGGTCTGCAGTTACTGCAGTGGGGGGAAACGCCAGGTTCTCCAAGCCTTGCCCAAGCTGGCTTGCACTGCTTCCTCGAGCTTTAACAGATCGAGAGGAACAAAACTCTATGGGTATTTAGTTCCCGCAGTTCAAGTCTCTCACAGACCTACAAGCTAGAAGGGATGTTGAGTCAGCAGAAGAAAAGCAAACCTGGTTACCCAGGATTGCCGGAGCATTAGAGAATGGGACCAAAATGTTAACACGGGTCTCTCTCCAGTGTTATTTCAAGCTGCAGGGGTGTGTGCGTGGGGGGGGGGGGGGAGGAAATGGAAGGGCCAGTCAACTGAATTTAAACAGTGTTGAGAGAAAATTGCTGCAAAGAAAGTTGCCCCTGCCCAAGATGTAAAGCTAATGGGAGCTAAAAGGAGAGAATCACCTCCTGCAAAGAATGTTTGTCCTCTATGCCTCTGCCAAGTATGTATCATGAATCCACTGAGAGATTTGTGTTATGAAGGAGTCTCAGGAGCTTGATTCTCAAAATTAAACCTCTGTATGATCTGTCAGTTTCCAAAACAAGAAAAATGCAGCCGCTGAAATATCTGCTCTGTCCTTGCAAAAAAAAAAAAAAAAATTCCATTTAGCACAAACCTCACAGATTATATTCACTCATTTAACACTGTGTATCCAGGCAAAATTCTTATCCGTCCTTTTTTTTCTCCCCCCCCTCCCCCAAGGAAGCAGACTAAGGAATGCTAAGTGTGCCAAAGTTTACCCAATAAAATCCCACTACAGGTAACTTCAAGTAAGGGCCACCTCTCTGTTGAGCCAAACAGGTAGTGAGTGTTCACATTGTCCAATGATCTCTGCAACTAAATGCCATACCCATGAATTTCTTGGGGTTTTGTTTTGTTTTATTGACTAGTGGGCAGATTTACTGGCCCAGAGAATAATGGGATGATCACAATATGGAATTTGGAGTCTTAGATTGACTCCAGCAAAGGCACTTAAAAGTTTGAGTGATTCCTTTTGTCCTTCCATGCATCATGTCTGTCATCAGCAAAAAGCATTCTTTTTAGGGTCAGATGTGATTGTGTTTGAAAATACTTTATCAAGACAAAGCTCTGTGCAGATATCAGAAGGCAGGCAGCTTGGTTAAATTTTTTTTTTTTTAAGGAGACAAAGAAAGTGACAAGTTGATGTAAGTGCAAAAGCATTTCATCTTCTTCTTGGCTAAAACATAGGAGAGCCCAGATATGTGCCCAAAAAGAATTAAGTCTCACCTTCACAGTGGTAAGGGAGGATGGGGAAGTCATCACAAAGAAACTCAATACCTGTCTCATTTGAACCCAGCTAAACACATTGGGGTGGTTCTGTTACAAGGCAGGGTGAGAGGCAACCCAGGATCCTAAACCCACCTACTACAAGTGGGTTCTGCCATCTTCTCCATCAAGTCAAAACATACTTTAATGTGCATTAAGACCTTCACTGGAAAAGAACTTTAATATAATTGGTGTCAGTAAAGAAAAGAGAAAGAGGGCCCTCCCTGGTGGCACAGCAGGTTAAAGCACAGCACTAAGAAGCTAAAGCCACTGCAGCATGAGTTCAATTCCCACCTGCCCCGGAGGTGACCACATGGCATGGCAGACCTCTCCTGACCAGCCCGCTGCTCCCCTCAGCAGTGTATTTCGTCCATCTGTCTATTCTGCTCCCCACTTTGTCTCTAGTGAATCCTCTCACCACCCTGCACCTCTGGCCTGTACCTTACTTAGTTCTATATGTATAAATAAATAAATCTTGAAAAAAAAAAGAAAAGAGAAAGAGTATGGTTAAACTAGTTTCCCCATGAAACACCCTAAGTTACCCATCTCCTCATGGGTAAAGAGCAAGTCAATCTCACCCCTAGGTATCTACCCAAAAGACACAAAAATACTGATTCAAAAATATACCTGCACCCCCATGTTTATTGCTGTTTTATCCACAATTAGAAAGACATGGAAACAGCCCAAATGCCCAAAAATGGATGACTGGATTAAAAAGATGTGACACATATACACAATAGAATATTACTCAGCAGGCAAAAAAAGAAACACATGTATTTTGCAGCCACATGGATGGAGCTGGAAAAGATCATGCTTAGTGAAATAAGCCAGAAAGAAAAGGAAAAATACTGGATGGTTTCTCTCATAGCAGGAATATAATGGAACAGGCGAGAAAATAATGATAATGATGTACAGCTATATACCAGAGACATTTTGTGGGGGTGAAGCGGAGAATGGAATCAAAAACAGTGAAGGGAGGGGAATGCACCGGACTATGATGATGGCATATGGGTGAATTGGTGATGGGAAACCCAAGGGGATTACAACTGAGATGGAAAAATGCACAAAAATATGTAAAACTAAACTATTATAAAATAAAAGAAAAAAGAGTAAGTCAAACAAGCTTGGTCCAAAGCAGGACCACTGAGGCCCAAAAGTTTGCCCCAAGTCTAAGGCACCTTCCTGTGGGGACCCATAGGAAAGCAGCAGAAGGAGTTAGGCAAGTCTGGAAGAAAAGAGCAAAAACCAAAAACAAGCCAAGACAAAGCCTGCCATTTGTCAGCCTCCCTGTCACCCACATCTCTGTTTTTTCAAGGGTCTCCTTCCATGTCACCCAAGCCCCTGGTGCAAATCTAAGGCCAAGAAGTATGTAAGCCTCTTTCACATCTCTGCTGTACATGTCTCTTCCTCCAAATCCCCCCTTCTAAGTCTTCCTCAGCTTCTCTTCTTTTCTTTTTTCAGCTCCACCCTTCATTAGATGGGGCAGAGATCTTGGAACCTCCACTTTTCAGATTACACTGTTACAATCTCAATCATGAGACTGAGATCATGGATTTCAGCTGGAGGTTACAATCAGCCCATTCCCTTTTCATCCTTTCTAGAAAAACAGTAACCTACTAAGTATAGCCAAGAATAGTTTAAGCTAACAATAATCAATTCTTTTTTTTTTAAACCAGTTACCACTTCTTCCTCTTTTCTTCTCTCAAAAAATACTGACCTAGGGTAAAACTTAGGTTTTACCTGAATCTATACCCTACATTGCAGTTCTTTCATTCCCAATAAATGTGTCTTCCCTTTTCAATGGCCTCTTGAATTTTTAGCAAGCTAAGACACTGAATCCAAAATTTCTACTTACTGGTCCTATTGTAACAGGGTGGTCCCCTAGGAAGAGGGGAAGTTCCAGGTTCCCTGCCCCATCCAGAAGGAGGTTGGAGCTGAGCAGAGAAGAGAAAGAATCTGCAGAAGATAGCAGGATGGAAAGCCAGGAGTCCTGAAGAAGCCGTATGGAGCAGGGAGCAATTGATGAGGAAACTGTGCTTGTTTCTTGACCCTGGACTGGTTCAAAGAGATGTGGGTGAGAGACCTTGGAGAGGTTGATAATGGCAGTGTTTATATCGATGTTGATTGTGCTCTTTTCCTCCCAAATTTGTCTGGCCATTTCTGACCCTTTTCCATGGGTCCCGGCCAGAAGGTGCTTTAGTCTTGTGATGGGCTTTCAGGCCTTGATTTGGGCCAATCCCTTTGCAGTGGACTTCTGCCCATGAGGGGATGGGTAACTTCTGGCATTTGATTTAGAAATTACATTCTTTGTGTTCTGTATTTGAAACACAGAGCAACTGTCTATGGGTCACACTTTGTATCTAACCTTTAGGGAGATTGCTAGGCCTAAAGTTTAGTTCCAGATCTGGAGCAGAGTCGTAAGTCTTCAGGCAAAGAAGGAATAACTTCTTCGAAAGTGGAAAGAAAGTGGAAAGCAAAAGTGGAAAGAAGTTTCTACGGGCAAAGCAGACTCAGCATAATTTGGGGATCCCCAGCTTCATCAAGATATGTCCAGTTTACAGGCCACTACACCAGTTTACAGGACCTTGTTCCTTACATTTAATGCCCTTATACCTGTGTTGTAATTCAACCACTCAGAGGATAAGTCTTTGGGATTGGATTTCAAAATCTTGACCTTATGACCATATGAGGATAAAGGTTTGATGTTGTTGTTGTTATTTTAGGGCAGATATAGAAGACTTCAAGTCATCTCTACAGAACTTAACCTGAGACTTGAAGCACTGAGCTCTTCTTCCCATCCCCTCCCTCCCCCAACTGGAATCTAGCTAGGAGATAGCTACTAGGAGATAGTTAATTCATTTGGTGGGGAGCTAAAATCTGCCGCCACCAAAACATGTTCATTTGGCAGAAGGCTTATTTCAAGGAAAGGGTCCTGAAGCTTGGGTGGAATTTGCCCTAGGTAAGAGACATTTACAAAAATCTCTATAAAGGACTATCTCTTACCATTTTAGGAAAACATAATCCTTTTAACTCTTG